TAGGAATGCAGATTGCTCTGGCTTCTTCCATGCTGAACAGAGATGCAGGGTGAGGCAATTGGAGTACCCCTTCAGTGGGTCTATCTAAAAGACTCCCAAATTGCATAACTCTTATCTCTAAAGGGAAAAGAAAGACCTTGAATTGTTAATAGGAGCTGTGAAGGAGAAGTAAAGCCAAGAGCAATTATAGCATTAATACCTTAGACAGGGTATTTTTATTTTATGTGTATGAGTCTATTGCCTGTGTGTATGTAAGTGCCCCCTGATCATGCAGTGCCCACTGAGGTCAGACAAGAGTGGTGGATCCCCTGGAACTGGAGTTATGGACGGTTGTTAGCCACCATGTGGGTGCTGGGAATCAACCCCAGGTCCTCTTCAAGAGCAGCCAGTGCTCTTACCTGCTGGGCCATCTCTCCAGCCTCCCTGTGAGCACTTTAAATACAGTGCTTAAACTTTGGCAGAAGAGGGCCCGCACTTAGCAAAGGCTCTGGGCAGCATTTGTTTCCACAGAGTGTTGTGTGCTGTAAACAAAATTTTTTCCTTTTTTCCCTTTTTTGGGGCACAGGCTTGGTCAAAAAGACAAGTTCTTTCAAGATGAGCCTTTCAAAGCATTTGTTTCATAGTGGGTGCCCTGCAGTGTGTGTTGTCACCGGCACAGGCAGGGCAGCCCCCAGGGGCCCCTCAGTGGAAGCACTTGTGAAACTTTCCAGTCTGAGTCCTGGGCATGGGGCGGGGTGAGAACAGAGCTGACTTGTGAGGGCCAGTCTGCATGTCCTTCCTGGGTTGGATGCACCTGGTGGGAGATGAGCACCTGCGCTCTGGGCCTCTCCTGCAGGGTGCACCTTCAGTGCCCAGGTGGTCATGGCCTTTTGGGACTGTGGTCACTGGGGTGTGCTATAGCACAGAGACATTTCCTCAGGCCCTGTGTTGACCACTAGTAGTAAAGTAAAAGCCGTAATCCACACAGATTTATCAGTTTGTTACAAAGGATTAACACCAGATGGCAGACATGCTGGTAGGAGGTCTGGCGGCGCAGGGCCTTGAACGTCTCTAGGCATCCTGTCCTAGCACCTGAGTGTGCTGACCAGCCTGGGGTGCTAAACAGTGGCTTAGAGCCTGGGATAGTCTTCAGGACACATGTGAACTTGACTGTAAGAAGCCCTCCAAAAACTTAGAAAAAGTTTAGGAAAGAAGCCAGCAGTAGGGAGCTTAGAAAGCTGCAGGTGGTAGAATAGAGGGTGGAAGCCTTTACCCGAGGTGCTCAAGGCCAGGGTCTGATACCTGTGAGCTCAGTTAAGGCAAAGTAAAACAAGATGAGCAGTATGGGGATGCGGGGGGCTGTATCTAAGTTCAGGGAGGACTGGCCTACCCAAACCATGTGCTGCCCTAGTACCTGCTGTCTAGCCCACTGCCTCCCGAATGGGCCCAGGAGATGGAGCTGGAGGTGTGGTACCCTGAAGAACTAGATGTGATTGATGGCCTGAAGGACTATTGGTCTCTTAATTCTCTTTGTTTGAGACAGGGTCTTACTATATATAGTGAGTTCCTGGCTGGCCTGGAACTAAAGGATCTGCCAGCCTCTGACTCTGCCAGGATTAAAGGCACACACTACCATGTCTGACCTCCAGATTTTTACCCGAATTCAGTTAAATAGCAAACTCGAAAGCTACTAAATGCTTCCAGACCTCTCCCACTGGCTGGAACACCCTCAACATTTAGCAGACTGGCCCAGCAGCACACAAAATGCTCAGCTGAAGGCACAAGCTTGAGGCGGGCAGTGGGTGGCGTTCCTAGGAGTTAGAAGGTGCCTGAGGTCATCCAACAACTAGTCCCAAACTCAGCAGGACAGGCTCGTGTTACCAGCCATGATCCGACAGCCTCCTGTGGCTTCCTGCTTCTCAGTGCTGGCATTATAGGCATGTTCCACAATGCCCTCTAGCTCCAGTTGTCCTGGAACTCACTATGTAGACAAGGCTGGCCTTGAATTCACAGAGATCCGCCTGCCTCTGCCTCCCGAGTGCTGGGATTAAAGGCGTGCGCCACCACACCTGGCCAGATCTGGCTTTTTAAGACAGTGTCTCAAAAGTACCCCTGCATACTCTCCCTTCCCCCACCGAGCTGAGGGTGAAATTGGACTGCTGATGCTCCTGCCTCTGCCTCACTAGAGCTAGGGTTACAGGTGTGAAGAATTCCTATGTGCTAGGCCAGCATTCCACCAGCTGAGCTATGTCCCTGGCCTGTTGATGTGTTTCAATACTAAAAAGTCACCTACTTGGTCCTTTACCAAGTTACCCATTTAACCCCTGATGTATATAATTCTTGCCATAACCATTTTTGCTTGGGAAATGGAGTTATTCCTCAGCTAGTGAGTGACAGACCAGGATCCAGCCCATGAGTCCTCTGCATAGCTTGGGATCTGAACCCCAGGCTCTGCTGGCTGTGATGTATGTTTATCAGGGTTTAAGATATTTGCCTTTCTTTGCTAAGAGTTACCAGGTAGGTAATGGGAAAAGATCTCTGTGTTGGTGACAGAATGTTCAGGAATGCATTTGGCAGGGATGGTAGAAGAATGGACTGCCTGAGCACAGCCCTGGGGCATTGAGGAGGGGTGGGTCATGGTGGTAGGCATCAGTCTGGGTGCTGGAAGGCAGTTGGTTTCACTTCTCATGGCACTTTTGCTTTTGTATAAAGTGAATTTAAAATCCATAGAGGACTGAACTTGGTGGTTTATGCCTATCACCTTGGCCCTCAGGAGGCTGAGACAGGAGGATCAAGAAAGAAAATAAGAACCTGCAGAGACGGGGATGCAGGGAGGACCGAGCAGGGAGGAGGAAGGAAGGGGCGACCCATTCTGGGTCAGACCTGAGAAGCTGTGATACGTAGGCCAGCTTGTGTTCCAAGGTAGTGGAAGCCTTGGAGCAGCCTTGGGCACTGAGACCCGGTGTAGAGGGCTCTGCTGGCGTGGTGGTGGAGAGTGTGCTCCGGAGCAGCAGCTGTCGGGCCCCTCACCCCCTCACCTTGGGTAGTGACGAGTGGGGTCCAGCCTGGTTAAGGTGCAGGTGCAGTGGGAGCATAGGGAGGTCAGGTTGGGAGGATGCAGTGAAGAGCTGCTATCCCTGTTGCTGGGAGTCTGCCCAAGAAGTCTGGGTGCTGGCAGTGCATGGTAGGGCAGCTTCCTGTGTGCATAGCAGCCACGAGCTGGAACCACGTCAAACCTGGCAGTCCATTCTGAGAGGACCTGGTGTTCGTCCCGTCTTCATAAGCCCAAAGGGATGTCCAGGGAATTGCATACAGCTGCTGTTTTCTTAACTAGGCCTTGCTGTGGGAGTGCGTGCTCGTGTAGAGAGCAAGCCGCGGGGACATGCTGCCCATTGGTGCTCGTGTGCGGGGAGGGTGGGGAGGAGGACAGACCTTAGTGCCAGGGTGGGAGACCGTCTGGACCAGGTGCAGCCGCTCCTGTTTGCAGGTGCAGTGCGCTCTCGACCTTAGAATGACAGAGTGACTGCCAACCTGTGGACGCAGCACAGTGCGAAGTGAGCCAAGGGACGGTCCTCCAGTGCCCGTGTGGGGTCAGCTTTCTCATGTGTGTTCTTGCTTGGCAGCCGCATCTGGGACACCGCCTCCGGCCAGTGTCTGAAAACACTCATCGGTGAGTGCTCTGCTCTGGGTTCTGGGTCTCGGGCGTGGTCGGGGCACACCTGCCCCTCCAGAACATCCGTCCTCAGGTCGTCTTTCCCTCTGTCCTGGGCCTGTTTCCCCTGCAGACCTCACTGCTTGTCCACACTGCTCTTCCTGACTAACTTAACCTCTACCTACCTCTCATGCTAGTGAGGCCCTTGGCCGGCTGTCTGCCTGATGTTGCTGAATGGTGTTCTGCTCTCTTAGCACGCCAGGACCTGTGCCTTCCCCTCTACCTGTGCTCAGCATCTCCAGCCTATCCTGGCCTCCTCCCTGGTGTTGGCATGTCTACATGTTGGGGTGTTGCAAGGTGGACAGAATGCCTAGAGTGGGGGACCAGACAGGTCTGACTGCTCTTCTGGGGGATGAGAGGGAAGGAAGTCTTGTGTGGATGAGTGGGTTGGGGTGGGGGTTTGTGGGGGCGCAATTAGCTGGCTGGCCTGAAGGGTTGGAGCTTCATGTCAGATGTAAAGGACTGGGCAGGTCTGCTGCTTCCCTGCTAGTCCAGCTTCAAGAGGGGGCCAGGCCCGCTGGGGAAGGTTCCCTTCCAAGGCTGTCAGGGGAACCAGTGTGCTGTGAGGACAGAACACAGACTGACAGAAACTTTTTTTGAGACGGTCTCCCTGTAGCCCCAACTGTCCTGGAACTCACTGGTAGACCAAGCTGGCCTCGAACTCACGGAGATCCACCTGCCTCTGCCTCCCACGTGCTGAGATTAAAGGTGTGTGCCACCACACCAACCCAGAAGCTCATTCTTAGTTGCAGGCTACACAGCCAGGCCCATGGTGAGGATAGGGTAGCTTCTGGTCTCTCTCTGGCCTGCAGATGTGGTATCATTCTTAAGTTTCTCTGTGAAATGTCCCTTTCTCAGGGACACATGCAGATGGAATAAGAGTCCACTCCTCTTCACCTGCTCACCTGAAAGGCCCTCTCCAGAGCAGCACTGTAGCTTGGGTTGGGGCTTCATGAGTTTGGAATGCTCACCTTGGAATACTGTTGTTTATATAGGATAGTCACAAATGTCAGGCAGTGGTTCCCCCCGTCCCTGGTCCCCCTCAACCCCAGCACTTGGAAAGCAGAAGTGGGAGGATCTCTTGAGTTCTAGGCCAGTCTGGTCTACATAGTAAGTTCCAGGCCAGCCAGGGCTATATAATGAGACCTTATCTCAAAAAATATTATTTCCATTTGTTATTTTCATGTGTGTGCCTGCATGAGCTTGTGTGCCCCCACCGCATGCAGGAGCCTATAGAGACCAGAAAAGGGCATCAGATCCCCCTGGAAGTTGAGTTCCAGGCGGTTGTTAGCTGCTATGTAGGTGTTGGGAACTGAACCCAGGTCCTTTGCAAGAGCAGTCAGTGCTCTTAACATCTTAAGTTCTTTCTTAAACTTTTTTTTGGTGATGGGATTTATGTGACTGGGCTCTTGGGTACCAAGCACACATGTGGAGGTTTGAGGATAAGTTTTGGGAGTCAGTTCTCTCCTTCCACTGTGGGTTCTGGGTATCGAACTGGGGTTGTCAGGCCTGCATACCAAGCACTTTAACCTGCAGAGCCATCTCACCAGCCCTGGGTTTTGAAACTTTATAGAATGCTTTGTTTTGTAATATTGTCCATCTGCATTGACTGAACCCTGGTCTGTGATGGGCAGCTAGTTGTAGGGCCAAGGTTTAAATCCAGCCAGGCAATGGGCATTGCACCCCGGGGCTACAGGGTGTGGGCAGAGGAAGGCAGGCCCAGCCCGGGCCGCTTTCTTCTCCTTGGGTCTCGGGTATAGAAATTAAGGCTCTTAGGGCTTGCCCCAGACCAGGAATTTGTTACAGAGGTGACCTGGGTAAGGAGCACCAGGTGCTGCTCCAAGTCAGCCGAATTAACAACCTCATGTGTTCTCAGCTGGCCTTCTGTCTCCTGTACCTTTCAGTGTGTGTGACCAGCCCCAGGGAACGGAACCCCCTGCGAACCCTCAGTGGTAACGCATGTGTCAGGACACATAGCCTGCGCATGCACACCTTAGGGCCTGGTGGGAAAGCCTCACTGCCAGGCTTTTCCCCCCTGGGGAGCCAGGGCCTGGGCTACCCGGGCAGGCCCAGTATAGGACACACCCTCCTCACCCAGGGGAGGGGCAGACCCTATGGGCCCACTGTGAGGGCTATAGTATCATTGCGACCTAGAAGTAGCTGTTAATGGGCACAATTTCTGGGAGCCCAGACTCCTCAGCGGTGGGTCGGGCCACTCATCTCACCCCCCCAGGGCAGAAGCCAGACTCGGGAGCTAGAACTTGAGGAGCAGAGGCATGCTGGTCACCAGGGAGGGCTTGCTGGGCCAGAGAATGAGAAGCTGTCTTGGCCAGGCAGCTTTCTCCAGGGGAGCAGCTGCTCAGCCTAAGTCTCCTTTCACGTGTGGTGGGGCTGGTGTTGGGCCTGTGATCACAGTGACCTGCTTCAGGCCCTTTGTCCTTTGAGTCCTGGTGACTAGGGCCTTGGGGCATTAGGGAGATTATGCAAGTATAGGGCAGGTGGTGGGAGGTGGCCTGTCGGGCTTGTCCTGCCCTTAAGGGTAGTGGTTGTGCTGCCGGTGGCAGGGACCTCACACAGATGTCCTGCATGGGTGACGGGGAGCTGTCCTGCCTCTCTATTCTGCCAAGGCTCAGCCTGTGCCTGTTCTTTGTAGATGATGACAACCCCCCAGTGTCCTTCGTAAAGTTCTCTCCAAATGGCAAATACATCCTGGCAGCAACCTTGGACAAGTGAGTGCTTTGACCCCTGAGGGGTTAGCATGCAACCTCCATGGAGGGTCCTTTCCTGTCATGGTGGGTACTGACCACCCCCATCCCACCCCATCCCCCAGTGGCCCAGTTAGAGGTGTTCTACCCTTGCATATGGTCCAGAGCTCCATGGAAGCTCATCCCTAGACTGAGAACTGAAGGGCTGGAGAAAGGCCCTGTCCCTGGAGGCTCTAGGTGGCTCTGGTGTGAGGATTTGAGGCCTAGGCTGATGCATGATTAATGAACAGACCCGGCCAAAGCTTTCCTGCAGGGAAGTGGGGCAGGGCCGGGTCTCTCAGGGCTTTCTGGGTCTGACCTTCAAGCACTGTGGTTTTTGTCGTTTCCTTGTAGTGCTGGGGTCTAGGTTTTGGGCGCTGGCCATAGCTGCCAGCATCTTGATTTGATCAGAACCAGGAGCTGAGTCTTGCTGCCAGGCTTTCCCCTCCTGGGTGGTCATTTAAGGTGGTTTCTGCACACGCTTTGTATGTACCTGCCAGCATCTTGATTTGATCAGAACCAGGAGCTGAGTCTCGCTGCCAGGCTTCCCCTCCTGGGTGGTCATTTAAGGTGGTTTCTGCACACGCTTTGTATGTAATGTGCTCCGGCTTTTAAAAAATTTTTGCTCTTTTTGAGACAGGGTCTCCCTGTAGCCCTAGCTGGCCTGGAGCTCACTATGTAGACCAGGCTGGCCTCGAACTCACCACGTGCTTCTGCTTCCGAAGTGCTGGGACTAAAGGTGTGCGCCACCAGTCCCGGCTTGGTCCCAGCCCTTAAGGGATGCGTGGCTGGCATTCTCTTGGTCAGCCTGCCACTTCTCCCCTGTGGTTGACACGGAATGAGCACAGAGTGCTTCCTGTGAAACCTGTTCCCGAGCTCCTGGAACCCGCATGACCTTGGATGTTCTTCTGAGGCTAACGCTGATGGAGGGGGGATAGTAGCCAGCAGCTTCCTTTCAGCCTGCCTTTGAACTAGTACTTGGGGTCCTTATGTCAGCTGAACTTGACCCACCTGAAGGCCCTCCCATGGTATCGCGGCATCAGATGGGCTGTGGTGATTGGCAGCCCCTCACTTCAGTCTTGTCTTTCAGCACGCTGAAGCTCTGGGACTACAGCAAGGGGAAGGTGAGCTCCGGGCGCGGCACTGCATTGGGGTGACACAGCAGACCCAGGAGCCGAAGCAGGAGGATCTCAGAACTTCCTTTGGTTTGGGTGAAAGTCTCTTAAAGACATGGGGTTTGTGGATGACCAGTCTGCAAGTCCAGCTTGGACCTGTGGGCTTTGCCCTTGTATGTGCCTAGAATATTTTTAGAATTAAGTTCAGGTGGTGGTCAGAGGTCTGTAGCCAGAACTTGGGATTCTCTGGAAGCAAGAGAAACACAGGTGCTGATGGCCCGTGCCCCCCTTTCAGTGCCTGAAAACGTACACCGGTCACAAGAACGAGAAGTACTGCATATTCGCCAATTTCTCCGTGACCGGTGGGAAGGTGAGTCCACTGCTTGTGCCCTGCTGACTCTGTGCCGAGGGCTGCCGCAGGGGCCTCCGTGTCTTTATCTTCTTGAGGCAGGGTCTCCTTGTGGCCCCAGCTGGCCTGGCACTTGGTGTGTTCCACCCTGTTGGGACCGTGATACAGTGAAGGGTCTGCAAGTAGGTGGTGACTTTGGGTAGAAACTCAGACCCACTCTGGGGGTGGCACGGAAGTGTTTGGCTGGTCCCTGAGGTCAGGGAAGGAGAGGTCAGGGTGGTGCCAGGCCCTGCCTCTAACTGGAAACTTTCATGGTTTTTTGAAGTTGAGCATGGCACGTGTTGGGATGAGTGTGGGTGGTGGTGAGGTGGCCGGAAGCTTGCCTGTTGCTTCCTACTCAACACTCAACCTGGTGTCTTGTTTGTCCGCACTGCCTGCCCGCTGCTGCATCACAGTGGATTGTGTCTGGCTCTGAAGATAACCTGGTGTATATCTGGAACCTGCAGACCAAGGAGATTGTCCAGAAGCTGCAGGGCCACACAGGTGGGCCGTCATCTGGGGGTGGGCCGCCATCTGGGGGTGGGCCGCCATCTGGGGGTGGGCCGTCATCTGGGGGTGGGCCGCAGGGTAGGTGCAGTTGCCTGGGGAGGGGCCCAAGGTGGGCGATGTGTCTGGGCTTTTGGGGCACACGGGTGGGTGCTACCATTCTGTTCTGCCTGGTTGTTGAGGGAAGTGCCTGTCAAGCTGGGCGCTCTGCAGTTCCGAGAGGGCTTGGAAGCAGCCATCAGGTGGTCTGTTCTGGGGGGCCATACATGTGGGGAAGTTTCTAGCCCAGAAGGTGACCACATTTCCTGGGGGCTTCAGTGGCAGTCAGGGACACTGGTTTTCCAGTTCTAGGCAGAACTCGGCCTTGTGCATGTGTAGCTCCTGACAGAGGGTGTCCCTGGGGTACCCTCGGTCCTGACTGGCCCTGACCTCTTTTTGTCTAGGGAGCCAAGGATGTCCTGTGCCCCTTTACGACCCTGAGGAGTGCTCATGTCCCTGATAGAGCAGCTGCCCCTGGCTGGGAGTGGGCTTGGCCACACTTGTCAGATGGCTTTTTTGTCCTTCCCCAGCAGCTGGCGTGGCTGTAGAAGCCACCCTGGGAACAGAGTGGTGGGCAGTGCCACCTCACGTGCCCCTCCTCGGTGCCACAGTGTGGCCTCCCTTGCTTGGGCAGAGCAGCTCTATGAAGGTTGGGGCTGGTGGAGGAGGCAGTGAGAGTGTTCAGCCCTGGGGCCAGTGAGGAGGGTGTATGGCCAGGAGTAAGGACCCCGCTGACCGCACACCAGTTTCCCTGTGTCCGGCCGGCCTGCATGGCAGTGTTTACTCTGTCCCCAGCACCTTGAGCACTTGTCTCCCAGCCCCTGTGATCAGTGGTCAGGACTAGGGCATGCAGTGGCCTAAGGCACTGCCACTGCCCAGCCGGGGATGGCACCCGACGGTCTCTATTTTCAGATGTGGTGATTTCCACGGCTTGCCACCCGACGGAGAACATCATCGCCTCTGCAGCATTAGAGAATGACAAGACCATCAAGCTGTGGAAGAGCGACTGCTGAGTCCTGCCCTCCCTGACTGCAGGCAGCTGCCCAGACTGGCCAGAAGAAACATGTGGAGGAGGGGCCAGCCAGACTGGCCAGGGTGGACAGGCCTGGTGCTCCTCCCCTCTGAAGATGTTGACTGGGGGGTGTGGAGTCTCACAGCCATTGTGACATTTCTTGCCAATTCTGTCCCCACCCAGGGAGTCTGGTCTGTTCTGTGCTCAGAGACAACACAAATTTTTAACTTTTTATTACAGAAGAGTGAGTTGAACTCGTCATGGGTTGTGTTTTCCCAGTAATTGTTGTGTATCTTTTTGATATCACCCAGTGTGGTCACTGGGACAGGCCCCGCCCAGCCCTGGTGACCTACAGCCCCAGTCCCGCCATGTGCCTCGGGAACTTTGTCCTGCGGGGCCTGCTGTTCACGTCCCCTGCCTGTAGTAGGTCCCAGGACTTTCTAAGACAGAAAGGGTGTGAGTTGTTTCCTTGTCAAGTCCCTGTGTGTTTCTGGAGTTGGTAGGTCGGCACCAACCTGGGTGGTGGCAGCTCCTTGTCTCACTGGCGTCACCAGGCAAGCTGTAGAGTCTGTGATGGAAGGTGGGATTCCGCACCTTCTCTGCCGGAGTTCTGATGGGAGCTCTCTCCACCTGGCTTTTAGAAAGTTCCCCAGGGTGGGGCTGAGAGGTCTCTACAAAGTGGGATCCCTGTGCCTCTTCTGCCCAGGTGGTTGGTGTGAGCTCTGTGCTCCAGAGGAACACCATTCTAGGGCAGGCAAGGGGTGGGACTCTAGACAGCCGTCAGTCAAGTAGGAGGTTCTGGCTCTGGTTTGTCCATTCCGCGTCAGACTCAGGATGACCTGTGCGGGAAGGAGGGACTGCTTGGTCCTGCCTCAGCAGGCACAGCCTCCTGTCTTGGCCTCTGGACCCATCTTTGGGCTTGGGTTTGCTCACCAGCCTCTCCTAGTCCCTGCCCATCAGATTCTCTGCTGTTCTGGCTTCTGGGTGACCAGGGCTGGGGAGAGGAGGTAGTCAAGCTCACCTGCACAGTCTCACGACTGTTCTGGCTGCATCAGGTGCAGAAGGTATGGAGTACAACAGAAGGTTGCTGGGCACAGAGGTGGGAGGTGTGGGCTGTGGGCCCTGGGTGGGCCCTGGCTGTGACAGCCCTCGGAGTTATTTGGTGTGTATGAAACCAGGTCACCTCGCTCTGCAGCTGTTGTGGACCTGGACCAAGCAGCCCCACCTTTGCTGAGGCCCAGCACCCCAGCTAAAGCCTGCTGGGCCTGTCCCCAGCCTGTGGCCCTGATAGTCCTCCAGAGACTGCTTCCCAGCAGGGGAAAATGTCCCACCCCCCTCTCCTGGCTGAAGAGGCCATCTTAGTATGAAGGCAGCGGCTTGTCTTTGGCACAGGGACTGGGGCTCCTGATGTCTGTTGGGAAGATGTGCCAGGGTTCGGGTCAGCATCAGGGACATGTTGCTGTGGGGTTTCTGGAGGGGTGTTGAGGTCCTTGCTGTGGGCTGGTGTGCGGCCCCTCCTGAGGGAGGGAGCTTGCTTGCCGTGCTGAGCACAGTATCTCCAAGTATAGTTTATTTTTTCTACAGTTGAACTCTGTTGTAGATTTATGTAAAAATACATTCTTTTTTTGAAAATAAAGATTTTCATGTCTTGTAATTCAGTCCCTTACAATTTCTTTTTTAAAGTGTTTATTCCTTTAGAGAAAGAGGTGTGGAGGTCAAAAGCTCTCTACCTGTGGGTCCTGGGGATGGAACTCAGGGCAGCAGGGTTGGTGGCAAAGCGTGGACACCAGTTGAGCTAGGTGCACCCTGCAACATCGAGAGTTCAAGACCAACCTGGGTTACGTGGTGACACCTGGTCTCCAAACTTTTAAAGGAGTACAATGTGGACTGGGCATGGTGGTGCAAGCCTTTAATCCCAGCACTCGAGGCAGAGGCAGGCGGATCTCTGTGAGTTCAAGGCCAGCTACAGGGAGACGTGTCTCAAAAAGACCAAAAAAAAAAAAGTACAATGTGTTTTTTTGAGTGGGTGTGGGTGTAGAGGTCCCTTGATAGCTCCACCCAGTAGCCCTCCCAATTTGGCCAGTCTTTATGCGCATGAATGAACTGGAGTTACCAGTTACCAGGATTCGAACCCTGGTCCTCTGCCAATGCTCTTGACTGCTGAGCCATGATCTCTACAGCCCACATATGACTAGTCTTTCTGGCTAGTTTAGTCTGGGGATCTTGCTGGGATTGAAGATGGGCCCACATTCCTACCCCTCAGAGGTCAGAGGAGGCTGGCTGATGGATTCCCCCCAGAACCAGAGTTAGTTGTTAGTTGCTGTGTAGGTGCTGGGATTCGAACCCGGGTCTTCTGCAAGACCAACCAGTGTTCTCAACCGCTGAGCCATCTCTCCAGCCCCGCTGTCTGTTTTGGTACACATGGACTATTCTCTGAACTTTTCCTTGGTAGACATGAACACGTTGACTTACCCCAGGTAGACCGAAGTAACATTTCACTCCTCCAGCTTAGTGAACCAGTAAGTCTATTTGGGCCTCAGGGAAAAGCCCCCTGGCCTGAGTGACAGCATAGAAGCTGCAGCCCTGGAGGTCCCTGTACAACCTGAGTCCTAGCGGTAGGTCTGAGTCCCCTCTCCCGAGTGGTGGTTTTCTGCTTCTGTAATCTTGGGGCGGAGCCTTAAGAATCCCAAGTCTCCCGTTTTCTGGGACTTGGAGGCTTTATTTCCTGAGCCTCACGAGCCTCCAAGGAGGAAGGCTGCAGTTTGGAGTAGGGTGCTGGCCGGCACGGCCTGTTCCATTGGAGGAAGAGCCGCCATCTAGAACCAGCATACATGGCCTTGAGTGCCAACCTTCCACACTGGTCTGCCTTTTAGTTGCCCCACCAAGTGCTGTGGACCCAAGGAGGCCAAGTATCCTACCGCTTACCGTGGGGAAGGGTGCTGTCCCAGTCACTTTACCTCATGGGTGGGCCAGTGTCCCTGGGGTGTTCCTTTGAAAGTTTGTTTGTTTGTTTGTTTTTTAATTAAATAACCTCAGCCAGGTGTCCTGGTACACACATTTAATCTCAGCACTTGGGAGGCAGAGGCAGGTGGGTCTCTCTCTGAGATCGAGGCTAGCGTGGTCTACATGGTGTTTCAGGTCAGCTGGGGCTACAGAATGACCATCTCAAAAACCAAAAAAAAAACCAAAAAAAAACCCAACCCTCAGAACTTGTATATTCAACTTTAGGCAAAGATGCTATTCTGCAACTTGGAGAATATTGACGTTTAGTCATTACAGCAGCAGACAGGGACATAGTGGTGCAGGACTGTGATAGCTGCTCCAGACAACCAGGAGGGGATTGAAAGTACTAGGCCTGCGGGGCTGCAGACCAAGTTCAAGGCCAGTCTGGACAACAGAAAACCTGCTTCAAGAAGAAAGAGGGCTGGGCGCATAGTTCAGTGGTAGAGCTCTTAATGTCCTTTGTTTGAGGCCCTGGTTTTCATCCCCAGTAAGAAAACAATTGAGAACAGTTTGGTGGTGGTACTAGTTTGTTTCTTCATTGCTGTGACAAAACGGGAGGAAAGGGTTTACTTGTTTTACTTCTCCCTGGTCATAGTTCATCAGGGAGCCCAAGGAACAGGGAGGCAAGAGCTGGAGCAGAGGCCATGGAGGAACGCTGCTTACTGGCTTGCTCCCCTGGCCCCTGCTCAGCCTACTTTCTTATGCAACACAGGCCCACCTGCCCATGGGTGGCACCACCCACAGTGGGCTGGGCCCTCCCACATCACTCAGCAATCAAGCAGGCGCCCTCACTGAAATGACCATAGGCCAGTCCAATGAAGGTAATTCCCCAATTGAGGCTCCCTCAACCCAGGTCTATCAAGTTGACACTAAAGCTGTCCAGCACAGTGGCACACACCTGTAATCCCAGCACTTGGGAGGTAGATGCAGGAGATTCAGGAGTTCAAAGTCATCCTGGGCTACATGTGAATCTTCCTAACAAAAGAGAAATGACGCGCCTTTTATGATGTTTCTTAGCCCCCCCCCCCACGTGCCCTGCGTATCCACCAATCCTAGGCTTTCCATGTAGGCTGTGAGCTCAGTGTCCCTTAGGGCATGGTGCCTAAGGAACATTCTCATCATAGAAAAACTAAGCAAGAATAGCTGCCTTAGGGGCTGGAGATATGGCTCAGTGGTTAAGAGCACTGACTGCTCTTGCAAAGGACCCAGGTTTGATTCTCAGCATCCACATGGCAGCTTAACTCCAGTTCCAGGGGAATCCAGAACCCTCTTCTGACCTCTGAGGCACTGCATGACATGGGTGCACGCTCATGCAGGCAATATACTCATACAAAAAATAAAAATTTTAAATAAAATATTAAAAAAAGAATACCTGCCTTAATATTTAAAAAATGTATGTGCTTGTGTGAACACTTATATGTGTATTTGTTCACATGAGCACAGGCCCACAAAGATTACATACAGTACATAGAAAGATTACATACAAATGATGTGCGCTGTAGCACACTACATGTTTCCCTTGACACCACTCCACAGGTTAAGCTAAATCCTGCCACGTGTCCTGTTTAAGGAAACTAGCTTGGGAACCACCTCTCAGCACAACCTGCCCTTGAACATTCGGGATTGTCTATTGCGCAAAGGCGGGCCCATGCCACAGTGGGAGCTACCTTAGGGCCTGTGCAGCCCACTGCTGAGGAAGGTCAAGTTCTGCTGCTAGAGGAACACGGGACGCCCAGGGCCCCATCGGACGATGCCTGCTGGCAGCAGGTCCAGGCCTTGGGAGCAGACCATTAGCTGTCACCACTAGCCCCTCACCTGCAAAGTGGTCTCTTGGCACAGGTGGTAGAGCACCTGGGCTGGCCCACGGGCTTGAGTCCAGAGATCTGAAGCAGGGCAGGACGGTCAGACCACCGGGATTTCCTGCCCAGTGGAGTTGCCAAGCAGCAAAGGACTCAAGGCCTGCTTCCTTAGAACCAGAGCTTGGACATGATTTCAAGGCCTCTCAGTAGGTGGTTGGTGTTGGAGGAAGGAGGGAGGGGACCAGTTCGCAGGCCAGAGGGAGGAAAGCTTCCCAGATGTGGCCTAAGTGGAGGCTCTGCATAGTGATCAGACCTGGCAAAGCTGCAGGCAATGCAGCACTGCGCTGTGTTCCTGAGTCTGTCCGAGTCTTGGGGTCACACACACACACCTGAGTCCGTGCATATCTTGGGGTCTCACACACATCCCGTAGTCTGTGCATATCTTGGGGGTCACACACATCCCTGAGTCTACATATCTTGGGTGTTACAGACATACAGCCCTGAGTCGGTGCATACCTTGGGATCTCACACACATTCCTGAGTCTGCATATCTTGGGTGTTACACGCATACCCCCAGAGTCCATGCACATCTTGGGGTCTCACACACACACCCCTGAGTCCATGCATATCTTGGGGTCTCACACACACACCCGAGTCCATGCACATCTTGGGGTCACACACACACCCCTGAGTCCATGCACATCGTGGGGTCACACACACACCCCTGAGTCCATGCACATCGTGGGGTCACACACACACCCCTGAGTCCATGCACATCGTGGGGTCACACACACACCCCTGAGTCCATGCACATCGTGGGGTCACACACACACCCCTGAGTCCATGCACATCGTGGGGTCACACACACACCCCTGAGTCCATGCACATCGTGGGGTCACACACACACCCCTGAGTCCATGCACATCGTGGGGTCACACACACACCCCTGAGTCCATGCACATCGTGGGGTCACACACACACCCCTGAGTCCATGCACATCGTGGGGTCACACACACACCCCTGAGTCCATGCACATCGTGGGGTCACACACACACCCCTGAGTCCATGCACATCGTGGGGTCACACACACACCCCTGAGTCCATGCACATCGTGGGGTCACACACACACCCCTGAGTCCATGCACATCGTGGGGTCACACACACACCCCTGAGTCCATGCACATCGTGGGGTCACACACACACCCCTGAGTCCATGCACATCGTGGGGTCACACACACACCCCTGAGTCCATGCACATCGTGGGGTCACACACACACCCCTGAGTCCATGCACATCGTGGGGTCACACACACACCCCTGAGTCCATGCACATCGTGGGGTCACACACACACCCCTGAGTCCATGCACATCGTGGGGTCACACACACACCCCTGAGTCCATGCACATCGTGGGGTCACACACACACCCCTGAGTCCATGCACATCGTGGGGTCACACACACACCCCTGAGTCCATGCACATCGTGGGGTCACACACACACCCCTGAGTCCATGCACATCGTGGGGTCACACACACACCCCTGAGTCCATGCACATCGTGGGGTCACACACACACCCCTGAGTCCATGCACATCGTGGGGTCACACACACACCCCTGAGTCCATGCACATCGTGGGGTCACACACACACCCCTGAGTCCATGCACATCGTGGGGTCACACACACACCCCTGAGTCCATGCACATCGTGGGGTCACACACACACCCCTGAGTCCATGCACATCGTGGGGTCACACACACACCCCTGAGTCCATGCACATCGTGGGGTCACACACACACCCCTGAGTCCATGCACATCGTGGGGTCACACACACACCCCTGAGTCCATGCACATCG